GTCATTTCATGTGTCTTTGTCTCGTCCAGACTTGATTATTTACAGACCGCCATCATATCGCTGGAATATCAACAAACAAACCAATCATGCTTCTTATTGGCTCCTGTCCTATGTACCCGTGAACCTTCAGTAGCCCATGCTTGTCGTAAGAGGCTACTAACGGGATCGTGTGGTCAGGCTTGCTGACTTGGTTCAGAGGCCCAGATAAGCTGCGTATCCGGGTAAAATACACATAGAAAATTTCCAATTACGCATTGAAAAATAATTGTTGCATACCAGTTACGCATTTAAAATGTTAGAAAAACAAAAAGTTTAAAACAAATGCGTACGGAATATATTTATAAAAATCGCTTGCATAATGAAAAAGACATCGATTACTATCAAGTTGTACTGTTAGTATAGGACAAGTGTTGTACTGTCAGTATTGGATAAGTGATTGTTTTATGAAATCATTTCCATTATATTTAAGTTGGTTTTGACTAGGTATGATATAAGGCAGGACATACCTGCTTAGTAAACTTATTCAATGACATAATACTTAGGTGAGTAAAATGATTGCATATTTGAAAGCAGTGGGTAACAGAAAATGAAATACCCACTCAACATTCCTAATACCCACTCCAAAAAATTACAGTGGGTACAGTACCCACATGAGCTGAATCTTATCTGAAGCTCTGTTGGTTGACACATGTCATCGGTTTCCAATTGCGCAGATCGATGCTCATGCTGTTGATCACTGGATTGTCTGGTCCAGACTCAATTATTTCCAGACCGCCGCCATATAGCTGGAATATTGCTGAGTGCAGCATAAAACTATACTCACTCACTCACTCCTATCCTATGTTGTGTTCCTCTCAAATGATTGATTGATATTGGCTCATTCAGCCTGTTCAAAATAGATGATGCAATTTTATTACTGTTAGTGTTATATATTTGGCAGGAAGGTATGTAACAAAATCACTGGAATTGTATTTTGGCCTGTGGTAATTTTAAGGGTCCTGAGTACATAGGGATGTACTAGCAAACTGAACTGTTTACTGAAGGCTTTGTAGGCCTACACCTACAATCACCTCCATGATTACTGAGAGTCATGACCACAATTTTGAGAGTACTTCATGAACGTTTAGTACAAGCAACTGACAAGCACCAGTCTGAAATGCTAGTAAGCTCATGTCTTAGCTTATTGTCTGTAATGAGCTTGTCCTTCCAGTTCTGTCATTTGGATTTTGCATTTTTTTGAAAGCCCAAAACCAGGGGAGGTGAAACGTACTAAAGATTCCTGTTGTGGTTTCTGTAAAAGTTGCCTACTGGGTTCTGATCTGATTTAAACACAATGAGTTCACTCCCAAGCAGCCATATTAACATGGCCTTTTCAGCCATTACTTTGCAGTTTCTGTATGTGTCATGATTATGAAATGCATAAAGTGTGCACTCTCTAGATTAATAGACACTACATTGTCTGGCATTTTCACACCTTTGTGCAAGTTAAAACCATACACTTTGACGTGCCTGCTTTTTTTGTTGTCTTCAACTTTGAAACCACAGTCCCTTTGCCTGAGTTACCTGTTGTGCAAACACCAGTTTGTCACACTGATGTGTTGTCTGAAAGTAAAATCTTCGTCCCTGCATATTCTTCCTTCCTTTAGTCATCAGTTTGTGTTGAACCTCAGAAAACTCAAAATATTGAGGGCGGTGGGGTAGCCTAGTGGTTAAAGCGTTGGCTCGTCACGCCGAAGACCCGGGTTCGATTCCCCACATGGGCACAATGTGTTAAGCCCATTTCTGGTGTCCCCGCCGTGATATTGCTGGAATATTGCTAAAAGCGGCGTAAAACTAAACTCAGTCAGTCAGTCCTTCCTTTAGTCATCAGTTTGTGTTGAACCTCAGAAAACTCAAAATATTGAGGGCGGTGGGGTAGCCTAGTGGTTAAAGCATTCACTCATCATGCCGAAGACCCAGGTTTGATACCCCACATGGGTACAATGTGTGAAGCCCATTTCTGGTGTTCCCTGTCATGACAATGCTTGAGTATTGCTAAAAGTGGGATAAAACTAGAACAAACTCACTCACTCACTCACTCAAAGCATTGACATAATCCTCTTCAACTCCAGCACATTGGTGGTTGACTGTATGTCAAAAGGATTTGAATGTTAATCATGGTCACCAAGGCAGCCATGTTTTAAATGTCAGTAATCAGCTGTCTGTTCTCAAAGAGTGTTGAAATTTGGTATAGGTATTAGTGGGGCCTGACATAAATATTCCATATTTTACAATACAGTAATTTTGCCAGCATAATAGTTGGTATGACAAGGATTGAAATAGTGCTTCATTTGCATGCCATGGCACAGTAAATATTGAAATGGCATGAATGAAATCTTTTCAGTGTGGCCTGGCAGAACGACTTTAATTACACAAATAATACACAACATGATTCATGTAATGGAAAATGCTGTATTATTTGACCAGTTGAGATGATTCTGGACCTATTTATCAAAGTGTTTATTGGTGACACTTCTCACGGTTTAACATGGGCGTGTCCATTTTAAATGCCAGCACGCATAACAGGAAGTCCTGTTTTGAGTAGCATAGTTTGTGGGTTAGATTATGGGTCCAGGACAAATGAAGCTGAAGGATTCTTGCAGTTACAATAGTGTTCAGGAAGTCCAGCTTTCAAGTTTACAGATTTACATGAGGTACTTTATTATCAAACAATAAATTAAAACGACATTGTTGTGGTGTTTTAAGATTACAGTCAAAATCTCCCCAATGAATTGCACTCTAACTCAAAAAACAAATAATCGTAAATGACTCAAACCAATGCCAAAGTAAATAGGAAAAACACACCAATTCTGCAGAAATTTGTTATAATTTTTGTCAACAAAATATAAAAGTTGTTTAACAAACCATCATTGTTTTCATTCAGTATTTCAAGATTTGTGACAATGGTGTAGCGACAGCTCAGGTAACAGCCAGGTACTCAAACCGACTATAAATGGATCATCAAAAGCTGGGCTCCAGATAAGGGCCGTATCAGCGTATGTACGGATAAAAATTGCACGATACGGTAAGAATTAATTTAGAAAAAGTAGCGGATACACACCACAGCAATGGTGTACAGTATTAGAATCATTTACGTACGTATTCATCTGAAAAAAGTATTTTTTTTATTGTTTATTGACCTGTTTACACAAGACTAGGAATGCTGTGGTGCATATATGAAACGAAACACAAGATTCCTGATACTCCATTAAATTCCATTCAGTACTCTAAATGTACTCTTAAGGTTTTCCAGTAATCATATATTGAACAAATAAGGAGTATGTAGACAGTGGGAAAGCTTTTACGCGATCAAGTATTCTCAACAAACACATGAGGTGTCACAAGGGAGTCAAGACTCAGTCCAGTTGAAGAGGTTAGGTATTAGAAAATCCTGTATTAAGCCTTTACAAAGTCAATTGCTCAGTCAGATTCGCTGAGCCACAGTGGAGTCAAGCCTAATGAATGTAAGGAGTATTGGAAAGCTTTTACAAGATCAAGTGAACAAAAGAGACACATGCTTAGCCACAGTAGATTAAAACCTCATGAGTGTAATTTATGAACACACTGTTGGTACTATGGTCTGAGCATAGTTTCACTATCATGCAGCTTTCCATATTGGCAACAATTGTAAAACAGTTTAAGGCAGATCAAAGCCGGCTAAAACTTGGTTGTTCTTTTCCTGAGAAACTAATGCCAAATTTTCCTTTACCAAGTTTTAATCAAGGTAACGGTTAAAATCATGAAGTTTTATAATATTGAGGTGTGATACAGAGCCTTCTCGCTGAATTCTGTGATTTAATATTCAGTATGTACAATAGATGTTTATTTTGTATATGCTGCATTTCCTGTATTAGAGATATGATCATTTATAACATTTGAGTATCAAGAATTAGAAGATAAAGCTACTCTGTTTTCAATTTTGCGGTCCTTTATCGTTGATTTAAGACCGCAAAATGTAATTTAAAAACTGAACGCGTTAGTGTGAGGTTTTAGATTAAACATTTAGCGGTCTTAAATCAACGATAAAGGACCGCAAAATTGAACACAGAGTAGCTTTATCTTCATTCTAGCACGACTGATAAGCGTTTTAAAACTGAACTGTTTGGCGCCCAAGAACTCAAGGCATGAAGGGGCCTTTTCCTGGAAATCGCTTGGAATCGTCCCGTTGAGGGACAGGTTTTATAATGAACAAAATAAGACCTTTTCAACAACATAAATGCTTTATTTCAGGAACCAGTATGCTTGTATTTGTAACAAGTAGCATACATAAATAAAAAAAATACTGTGAGCAAGTACAATTATTTGATTTTTCACAAGCGAATTATTGATCTCCCCTACTGTACGACAATCAACTCGCCCCAATTCAAGCCGTGAACTCACTAAGTTTAGGCGCCGCTAACTTTATTCACGGAAATAATTGTTGATAACCTCCCTACTATTCCCAATTTGGAAAAGACCTGACATGCCACATTTTATGTGGGATACAAGGACAGTGGAAGTGAAAGGACTGGGCATTATGGCCGGGACAGAAGCGGTCAGGCTACGACGTGTGGGCCGACGTGTGTTGTCGACGTCATGCCCGCTAGATCTGGACCCGGTTTGAATATACTGACGCATTTGCGCTGCTGACAGATTTTCCAGCTTCGTAGTTTCTTCACTGGGATTAGGGTCAAGAAATTCTTCTTCAAACCATTTGCTTTTTACTTCAAAAACACCAAAGATGCTGCCGAGGTAGAAATTGCCGACGTCCGACATGTTTGTTTACGAACATTAGGGTCAACGAGTTCGTTGTATTCATACGTGGTGAATCGGTCACTTTAATTAGCGGTCTTAAACTGCCATTTAAGTATGGTTTTGATGAGCTCTCAGCCAATCACAATCGAGTATCACACACTAATATCATGTAAAATTGAAAATATGCTGTTCAGATTGCTTATAGATCCTTGTATCTTTCTTTTCAGATCTATTCCCTTGTGACGGATCAAACTTGGGTATTCATCATTGCTTCTCCTGTAACATCAAAGGGAGGTAACTTCCGATTCATCATAATGGAAACTGAAAGCCAGGCACTAAATGGCTGCGTCTCCTCGTCAGACAGTTCCACTGAAAAAGAGAGTGCAGGATCAAGTGATGTTGAGAAACGTGACCCACCTGTATTCAAGTGTACAGAGTGTGGCAAAGGGTTAACAACAGCAAGAAACCTGCGGACACATATGATGATTCACAGTGGCATCAGGCCGCATCAGTGCGATCAGTGTGGTAAAACATGTTACACAACCAGTGACCTGAACAAACACAAGAAGACTCACACTGGTCTTAAGCCTTTTGAGTGTACTGTGTGTGGCAAGACGTTCACAGAGTCTGGCACTCTGCGGATACACACGAGACGACACAGCGGCATCAAGCCCTTCAAGTGTAAAGAGTGTGGTAAAGCCTTTGTACAGTCAGGTGGCCTCAGTAGACACATGGTCAGGCACAATGGAAGCAAGCCCTACATGTGTAATGAGTGTGGGAAAGCTTTTCCCCCGTTCCTGTTCCTTGCAGAGACACATGCTAGCTCACAATACGATCAGATCTTTTGAGTGTAAAGAGTGTGAGAAAACATTTACCACAGCAAGAAACTTGAAGCGACATATGAAATGTCACAGTGACATCAAAGCGTATGTATGCAGTGAATGTGGCAAGGAGTATGCACTGTTGGGTAGTCTGCAGGCACACATGAAGACACACAGTGGGATTAAGCCTCATGAATGTAACGACTGTGGGAAAACATTTACAGATTTGTACAAACTGAACACACATAAGAAAATCCATGGCGGAGACAAGCCTTTCCAGTGTACCGTGTGTGGGAAGGCTTGTTTAGAACAAGGTATTCTGAATGCACACATGAAGTGGCACACTGGTGTCAAGCCTTATGTGTGTGGTGTATGTGGGAAGGCATTCACACGAACAAATGACCTTGAGAGACACATGAGGCATCACAGTGGGGTCAAGCCGTATAAGTGTACCGAGTGTGATAAAGCATTTGCACAGTCAAGTACCCTGAAGAGACATCTTCTGAGCCACAGTGGAGTCAAGCCTTTTAACTGTAAAGTTTGTGGGAAAGCTTTTGCACGATCATGTAGTGTGACCAAACACATGAGGTCTCACAATGGACTCAAGCCTTTTAACTGTAAAGTTTGTGGGAAAGCATTTGCACGGTCATATAGCGTGACCAAACACATGAGGTCTCACAATGGAGTCAAGACATAGTCCAGTGGAAGAGGTTAGGTATTATAAAATTATAAAATTATATGAGACTTAATTGTAAGCTACCTGTGAATGTCCGGGTTAGAATGAACCTTCAGTAACCCATGCTTGTCGTGAGAGGCGACTAACGGGATCAGGTGGTCAGGCTCGCTGACTGGGTTGACACATGTCATCGGTTCCCAATTGCGCAGATCGATGCTCATGCTGTTGATCACTGGATTGTCTGGTCCAGACTCGATTATTTCCAGACCGCTACCATATAGCTGGAATAGTGCGGCGTAAAACTAAACTCACTCATTCACTCACTAATTGTAAGTTAAAGTTTGGTAATAATTACACCGATCTATGGAGTACTGAAGGATTGGTATTGAAAAATAGGCATCTTTCAGGTCAGTTGATGCAGAGTAGCAATCCCTACAAAAAAGATAGCAGGTGTTTTGAAAGTATCCATCTTAAAATGGTGTGTATCCACAATATCAGTAAGTGACTGCAAGTTAAAGATTTCCCTCAAGGAATTGTCTTTTTTAACCCTTGTGAAAATGTTGGCAATATAATTCCCATGTTCATGGGAATACTCGGCAATGATACCTTGACTAACATTTCATTTATCTCACAGTCTACTTGGTGCCATTCCTGTTCATTAACTAGGATTGGCTTGGGTAGATAATGTTCAACTGGCAACACGAGATAAAACCCAATTTTCAGACATCTCAGTGTACCAATTATGCACAAACTGCTTAGATTTGCTTTCAGTGAACTTATGTGGCTCATTGGAGAGCCTGTCTGATAAGTTCTTCACCTCCATATTGTCACTGTCTAGTGCTTCAGCTATTTCCTGAAGTTGTCCTCCTTTGGACGTCGGTTTAAAAAACACCATGTTGGTTTCCTCGGGTCCTGGACAAAAGCCACCAGGACAAGAGCCAACCTGACAAATGCCACCTAAATAAAACCAAAAAAACGACAACACAATATCACATTCCTCATGTATTTGCAAGATAATTCATTTTCATTTACACACAAAAGAACAAAATGACATTCATTTTGCTTTCGTTATCATGTTTTTTGTTTTTCATTTTCAACGTTAATAATAATAGACACTAGATACTTTTATATCCAACATTGGCACTAGTCCAACTATTTAGCACTAAATACGTCATGAAATACTTTATAAAAGATGTTGCATGTTTCAAACATGAGCACAAGTTCATAACAATCACATCAATATATCAGCCCAGTTCATTGCAATACAATTTCACATTCAAAGTCTGATGTTATGAGCTACACTCCTCAGGAATTCCATTTGGTGCCTGTTTCTGAAGTCTGCAGCAATGGCCTGGAGACGCTGCTGGCAATACCGATATTGCCTCCTGTGACTTGTGATGGTCTGCCCGGCCAACATCTGGGTAATCACCTGGTTGTTCAGAGCTTGCTCCCTCGTCAACACATCCAAGAAACACCAGATGCTGGGATGACAGCCTGCCATGCTTGTCAATTATCTCCTGTGCCACCCTTCCAGGTTGTTGTTTGTCCTTGGTAGGTTGTTGTTCGTCCTTGGTAGGTTGTTGTTCGTCCTTGGTAGGTTGTCGACAGTCCTCTGGTGCTGGTTCCAGCTTGATACCGAGAACATTGGTGGTTGTCGGTAAAAACCTCCCTTCACCTCGATTCCTGGATATTGAGAGGCAGCAACATTCCACATGGCTTTATCCAAGTCTAGCATCAGCAAGTCTGGGGCGCAGTCTGGGCCAAGTTCCTTCAGCTTGGTGAACATTTTCTGTATGTCGTCTCCTGTTTGTTGGGCATGAGAGCATACACACAAGGAATCACAGCATTGTTGGTCAAACAATGGATGGTGAAAAGCTTGTAATAGAGTTGAGGGACTGTCTTGAATGTTCCATCAGCAAACCAGTGATGGGAACGTGCGAGGAGGTCGAGATTCCTTGTCGTCGAGAAGATGAGGATTCGGTTGTTGTTGTCTACACCGCCATCGTACTGAAGAAATTGCTCACCAGCTCCTGTTGTCTTATATTTCTCAGGTATCAGCATTGCTGCTGGGCTCTAAGCATTGTCTCCAGCGTAGATCTGGAACCAGCGCCATCCTGGCACTGGCTCCCTCTGAGATGGTGATAGCAGCTGCTGTCAGGATCTGCTGGGCCGATTCCTCCAATGTTTCTGCCCTCTCTCCAAAAATGTTGGAAATAGTAAAATATAGCAGCTGCTGTCAGGATCTGCTGGGCCGATTTCTCCAATGTTTCTGCCCTCTCTACAAAAATGTTGAAAATAGTAAAATATAGTAAAATGATTCATATAAAAAAGTAAAGTATAGATGTTACAGATATATTATGTCAACATTACTATGAAATCCAAATTCTACATCAAAATTAACAGTTTTTATCAAAGTGAACATATTTTAAAAAATAACTTATTCAAAGTCAAAATAATTTTACAACAAAATCAACATTTTTATCAAAGTTAACCTTTTTAAACAAAAACAAATTCTTTTTAATTAAACACTTTATCAAATTAAAATTAAAATTTTCATTACAGTCAATAAGTGTGGTAATTGTCCTCTCTGTAATGGTAAAATAACTGGGTGAATTTTGTCCCAGGTGGTTTGTGTCCGGGTGGCTTTTGCCCTGCTCCCAGTTTCCTCTGCCCCTGGATCTCTTAACTTTGTTAGGGAAACCCTTTCCTGACCTGAAGGGTTGTGCCGTTGCCTGTTGTAGGGTTCAAACCTCTGATTGCCCCTATATCTGTGGCGATTGGATTGCCATGATGTTCCTAAGCCAAGTTTGCTCCCAAGTTGACTGGCATCAGAAAGTTCATCCCAAACAGATATGTTCCCAAATTCGTAGCTGGCATGGCAAAACACAGGTTTTAGTAGGAGCCTTTGAGGTCAGGTCTCTTGTATTGAGATCATCATGAGCGCCTGCAGGGAGTCTTATTGAATCAGTGGCTTTCATGAGGGAGTCTTTAATATCCAGTTCTGATTTGTTGACTATGACACTCATGAGCAAAGCTGTCAATTGGACTAATGGAATCATAGCTTTCATCATTAACCCCTGGGTCTGTTGGGCCCTCAAGTCTGTAGACCTTGCAGCAGGTTTGGTCTATTACCAGATTTCTTCATGGGCCTTTGGGACCTTCATTGCATCGCAATTCTTGGGTCTTTTGTATCTTCCCATTACCTCTTTCAATTTCACCATGTTCGGGCTCTTCGTCATTCCTTCATTTACTGATTTGGCCAGGTCCTCTCTCCTTTCCAAAGTACTCACAAATTTGTGACATAAGAGATGTAATACTGTCCTTATCGGGGTTCTCTTTGGTTTTCGCACAAGTTTGATTGAAGCAAATGGGAACATTGACAGGGACTGAATGGAACCTTTTCGTACACCCTCTGTATCATCTTCCTTCTCGTACACCTTCTTGAGAAGTGCCACTTCTGCAATAACATCTCTATGAAGTCTCATACTAAGGCTCGATTCTGATGAAATCTTTTGCATCACTTCCTTTGTTCCATAGCCAGTGGAATTTCCAGCTTTATAAGCTGCACTGTCCACATTCCCTAATTTCTCATAGTAAACATTTGAAGGTCCGCTCTGCTTAATGGCGTCTGCAATGTGTTTCCTCTCAGGTCCTTTGATAGGCCTACCTTTGACCACACCATCTTCATGACTGATCTGTGTAAAGGGTTTGATAGCAATCCGACTCTGAATCATCTCTTACAAGCCCTTCATCATCACTGTTTACATCAAGGGTGCTGCCATGTAGAGAAAGGAGAAGAAAAAAAATACACTGCATCCACAGGAATGCACAATATTATTCACTGTACCCACAACACATCTATGACTTTGCTTGGTGTTAGTTTGTTTCTTTCAGAGCAGTTACAAACATCATTTCATCCCTCAGTCCACATGATCAATGATTCATTCCAGGGTCTAAAGAAATTATCAAAATGTACAGTTCTGTACACTGTAACAAAGTAAAAAGGCGACAACAAAAGGTTTGCAAGGAATTGAAGTTTTATTTCAGTCACAGTCTCATCACTGAGTCCATAGGGGAGGTCTGGTCAGACTGGTCCCGGCAGAAGTGGGCAGAGAGTCCCTCTCAGTTGGCTGCAGTACGTCTGGTCAGAGTCGGTTGAGATCTGCTGTTGGGCCTGGCTCCCTTTTAACCAGCTTACCCCTCTCTCCTAAATGTCACACTGGCCACAGACAATCTGGCAGATTTATCCAGTTAATTCCACCAGATTAGTCATCCTCGTTGCTAGTATCCAGTGGGGCATTTCACGACAGCCTTCTTAACACCTTGTTTTCACTTGTAGTAAGATATGGTCTCCTACTTGTCATGCACCGGTCAGTCTGGAGGGGACAGTGGGCAGTACATCGGTCATGCTGGATTTGTGTCCGATGCATTTGATCCTGCTTCTACCCACCACATGAATCTCTCCCCTCGTTAGTGTCTGGTGCGACATTCCTTGTATGCCTTCTTAAGACCCTGTCTTGACATTTTAGTAAAATATAGTTTCCCAGCCAGACACGCACCGGTCAGCTAGGTGGCAGGGGACAGTGCGTCCGTCTCACTGGATTAGTGTCATAGGCCGACACACGGGCACACGGCCTATTGTGTTACATTAGCCCCACTTTACTTTGAAATTTTTCGCTGGAAAAATTTCATTTTCTTGTATGGTTATACAGTTCTTCAGCTGTGTTTCAGCCGTATACAGTTGCTACAGTCCACTATAGCACACTAATGTAAAATTATAGTCTCCTTGAAATGATTGGGAAACATTTACACAGTTCACTATACATTCCCACAGTTTCAACACACTTGGGAATTAACCGAACATTGGTCGTTCACGAGTTAGTCCTTGGACATGCCGTCGGGACACAACACAGTCTGCATCACGTCACTGCCGTCGTTCCCGGGTTGTGATTATCCAGTCATGTCCAGACTTGGGTAGAGTTGTTGCACTACCGTTCTTGTTCCCGTTCCGTCCACCCTTC